AATCTTTTCTAACGTCATTTCAAAGTTCAACCAATCAATCTCGGGTGTGGTGGGCTTAGATTGGTTTGATCGCTCAGATTGACAGGTCTCGATTTACCATGCGCCATAGAATAGGAGCACACAGCTGAAACAGCACAGGAAGATCATCACTCATCAACCAGGATCTTAGATAACTTGTTTTTTCTATGTTCTTTTATTGTGTGGTGATTACACAAGTATGTAGTTCTTATGTTCTGTAAAATCTCTTGTTTGTAGGGTTTTTCAGTCCCTTGGTAAATTATGTTTTTAAAAAAATAGGCTATCCTACCTAATCCATTGCATGGCTCGAATACATTAATACAATTAGAATACCGTAAGTACGGCGTGCTCGCTCCTCATGTGTCTGCTGCACGTATTTTGCACATGAGCCGCACACACCTCAAAATTACAAACTCTAATGATGACCTTGCTTAATCAACCATCGATTGAATTTTAAGAGAAGTTTTATCGATTAAGTTAACAACAATTAGGCTAATCAATCATCGATTAATCGCTAGCATCTCTAATTACAGTAATTCAAATGATCACAGAAGTACTGGAATAAAAGTTTATAGTTCGGATATAGTAAACACTGATGTCTACAGAAGCAATATCAAAATAGAGCAAATCACCTCGCTTCAAATAAAGATTGTATCAATTGCATTGTTACACCAGTAGGTGGCTACAAGTGACTGGCAAAAAAATTATTTGTCATTGAATCATTCATTCAAGAGATTTGTTCAAAAACGCTTCATCTAGTGATGAAACAGGCTCATCATTTAATCATTTATTTATTCCAAACGATTTTTAATAAATTAAATAAAAATAATTAATTAAAAAAAAAAATATTTGCAGCAATTAACATTTTGTCAGAACCTCTAGTAAATAAATTACATTATATTTTGTTTAGTCTATTCAGAAACGTAGGTTCGGAATAATTTTAGGTGACTTGCACCTAAGATGATGTTCAATACATTTGCTTTTATTACAGTACATCACTCCTAAAAGCGGTACTAATCCTACTAAAAGCTGCTTTTGCCTTTATAAAACTCATAGCCCTTTAAACAAGCCATAAGGATAGTTTAGAGAGTAGGTGTAACGGTTCAAATTACTCACCGTTCAGTTTTTTATCATAGTTTTAGGGTCACGGTTTCTGTATGGTTCGGTATGTGCTATGGTCAGGGAAACGAGAGTCCTACTGAATGTTTAAATTGGAAAGGCTTAAATGAGTAAATTTTAAACACAGATAGTAACGTGTGCTGTTCAGGTCTCAACTGCACTCACACGCTATTCAACACCCAGGTGATGATGGCATATTGAACAAAGTTTAGGGAAAGCCCGAACGCGCATCCATCGACAAAGACATACAGTAGCCTAACTCTGTCTGTTTTACGAGTTAATTTCAACAAACCGTATTAAGGCCAATTTATACTTCTGCGTCGAGTGTACGCCGTAGTGTACGGCGTAGGCTACGCACGTAGGCAACGCCGTCATGAGCATTTATACTTCTGCGTTTAGGTCTGCGTTGCTCTGCAGTACAGCGCCGAAACGCTAGTTGGCGGCGGAGGGTTTTAATGTTCCACTGTGTTTAGATTCCTCGCGGCAAGAAGAAGAAGATTCCTCGCGGCTGTTTTGAGTTTAGGTTACTACAAGCAATGCCGACTGAAAGAGAGCAGATCATGTTGGAGTTGGAGCTTATAGAGGTGGAAAAGGTAAATTTTTAGTTTTTTTAACAGTTTCGCTGTACTTAGAATTTAAAAATGGCGGGCGGTGCAGAAGAACACGCCGGAAATGCATAGAAGGAAACGCGATGCTACCAAGCCGACCAATCACAGATCTTGCGGTCCGCGTCGTCGCGACGTGTAGTTACATTTTTGAGGAGGTGCGCGTCAGGTTACGGCGAAGGGTACGGCGTATGGTACGCGTCTGTGCGTATGCTACGCCGTACCTACTGCGCGCACCCGACGCAGAAGTATAAATTGGCCTTTAAAGATGCGTATGGGTCATCGGATTTGAGATGAACCGCGGTGCAAGTGCATGCTGAACTGCGTGACACGACAGTACGGTTAGATGTTGTTTTTTTACATAGAACCGTTACACCCCTAGTAGAAAGCTATATGGAGGTGTTCAACACATCCTAAAGACTTCATATACAGGTAAAACTTCCCAAGCCTGACATCTAAGCTGGGCCACTCCTCTGAGTTGAACATTCAAGTATACAGCATGTGCCTTTACTGGTCCATGATCCATCAACACCTCAAAGCCAGCCTGTCTTCACCAATTCAACAGTTGCTCTGTTTAGACGCAAACAGGACAGGGTTTGCACAGAAAAGAACAAAAGGAAACTGGAAGTGATCAACAAATACAGACAAACCTTCTGAAAAACTCACTTGAATGACCAGCATGTATCAAGCCAACAATAAAGAGGATCAGAACAGACCTGCGACCCATTTTCAGGCCGTGGCACTCCCAAATGACATTATCTTTTACCCCTAATGACATTTCCCTGAGTCAGGAGACAGCATCAGAGCATCAAGCAGTCAGATGGGAAATTCCTGTCTTCACAAAGCAAAAAACACGTGGCCAAGACCAAGAGCACAAACTGTTTGAGGGCATAATTATGCTGTTTTAGCAACAAAACAATGTTCAATTTAAAGTCATGTGAGAGACAGGTTGTTTTAACAGGAAGATAACTTATTTTGATTAGGATAATGAGGGTAGTGGGCACATGAATTTTCATCTCTCATATTAATTTAATTTCTAGTTGTAAGTTGGTGGAAGGTTTAATGCAAGGCTTTTCTTTCCTTCATACTCAACTGAATCGTACAGCCCAAGTTACAGCACAGGTACTTCCCATTTTCAAAGGAAAGCAGAAGAAGAGAGAAATGCACTACTCTAGAAGAACAAATATAATGCGTCAACAATGTAGAGATACTCAAGCAAAACATAATACCTGTTTCTATGATTTAGCTCTTACAACACAATTAAATCCGTTGTAAGGTATGTCTCCACGGAAAAAGATATACATCTAGAGAGAAACTAGGGCAGGCACGGGCAGTATATCGAGTTTGTTTGTACGATATATCGATATCTTTTTATAAATGATATATGATGATGCAATACAGTTTATATCGACATACAGTAGTTTGGTATTATGATATTATTTTAGCACATCTGAAAAATAGCAAGGGAAAGTGCATAATCCAATTTGTCCTAAAAATGAGAGAAATTATTTATTTAAGGGCTTCAAAATAACTCATAAGATATAGTTCACATATATAGTTTAAAGTGGCTTGCCCCGCCAGATGCTCTGGCAGGTATTTGTGCTGTTTAATGCATTTGAGATTTAAGCTATGCACTTAGGAAAACACCACATTTCACTGTCATATTCTCAATCAGTAAATGTTAGAAGGTCATGCAAATATTTCCATTTTGCTGTCAGGTAGATCTGCACGATTCTGGATAAACTGAGAATCACGATTTATCGGTGTTATATCCAAACTATAAGCTTTAATCCCAGTTTTTCTGTGATAATATGAATATTTGTAACACAGAAATAACTATATTGTGTGGCTGAAAGACTGTCTGTGAAGCTGTTTCTTACATCACATCTGCTCTTTCTGGCTCAGCTGCAGAGCAAACACAGATTTGAATGTTCCAGTGTGATTTTGTCAAAGGTATAATAGACAGGCGAATCGTGTGGGTGTTTGAATCGAGATCATGATCTTTTAACGATTAATAGTGCAGCTCTACTGTCAGTAGTGGACGAGCCTTATGCAATCGAGGTTATGCTAAACTACAGAGACTTCAGGCACATAAGCGCCAAACTGTTAACATTTAGTCTGGGCTTTTGTTTATTCAGTTTAGTGAATTTAACATCTACTTCTCTATTATTTTAGTTTTTAGACTGTAATGTTGTTGTTACAATGTTAGATTGTAATGTAATGTAAACCCCCTTTTTGCAAATAATATATACTGTAGTATAGCCTACGTTGGTTACATTCCCTATTTTTGCTTTCACAGCCAATTTTGCCAGTTTTATAAAGCCATTTATGAACATTGTTTGTAAGACAACATTGGGCAGGATGTGAAATAAAAATAAAATATAAAACAAATAAAGATTTTTTTTTTTTTATCCAAATAGGAAAAATGTGAAAATACTGAGACGTATACCGTATATCGCGATTCAGCAAAGAAAAAAAAGAAAAGAAAAAGATTTTTTTTTTCTTTTATGATCGCCCATCCCTAGGAGAAACTGAAAAATAATTTAAAAAAACATAAATGTGAAAATCAACACAGGTTGCACATGAGCACACATCAACATTTAAAAACAAAATGAACTGCAGAAGGACTTACTACACTGGGTTACTGTAGTATACTGTATAGTGGGATTATAGTGGGATAATCCAGACTGATCATGTCTGGATTTCAGGTTGCACATGAAATCTTATGTCAAATCATTAAGGTGCCATTACGTATCGTGAAAGGCAAGCGACAGAACACGTATTAGGTAGCATATTGGTGACTTTTTGCGTTTTGCTGGAGGGACACATTTAAGGAAAAATCTACTTGTGTCGATCCACAAAACACGACTATATCCCTTTTACATAAATGACATGATGTTGGGAAATAAGGCTCTGTTCACAGTCAGATTACTGTAGTATAAACCCAATAATAGCAGTAAAGGACGAGTATTCAAATCCAATTTAATGCTGATGACCTCATGTACTGGCTAAGTATTCTTCATTAGCCAGACTACAGTTTTGTGTTATGATATGATGGTCACGCACTAAACTGCTGAGATACGATCAAACTGCGCTTCTATCAGCTTTTTTATGTCATAACTGTTGACTTCTAATAAGTGTCGGGTCGGCTGTGAGTCAGGATTGCTCATGTACAGGCAGCTTCGGGACAAAAGCAGTATTTCTACGCTTGCTAACTAGCCATCAGTGTTTCCATTTAAAGAACCCACTCATACTTACAATAAAAAGCTCATCGCTCCTTGAGGAAAATGCGCTGTAGATGAGAAAAATACACTACTCCGTTATTTTGACTGATGAAGGGTGGAAAATCAAGGTATTTGAGCCCGAACACTTCCAACACTGATCCTGCCCGTGCAAAAGTTCTCCTTCCCATCCAAAGTCTCTCCAGAGCCGAAAAATCCCGCGAGATCACGACAGTGAAGCCTCCTTTCTTCTCTAATAAGAGTCACGTTAGCGTTTATATTATATTATATAATTGCAATAATTGCAATACACACACATGTATTGTACATATAATATAATATAATTATATTGTATTATATTATATTATATTATAGTACCGTTAGCATATATGCACACGCATATGCTATTATATATTCTCCACAAACTCAAAACTGTAATTGACATAAATTCTACATACAATTTGGGAGAAAAAACATTGGGTTTAAATTGTGGTTGTTTACAAAATGAATGTAATTAATGAATTAACATAATTAGAAATTATTACTTTTTACAATTGTTTCATTGTTCGTTCTATTTATTCGTCATTCATAATTATTTATTGTGAGAAGGTCTGTACAAATAATTTCGAATTTTGAATGACAACTCTTCTGTTTAGGTTAGGCCATAGACTTTTCTGTTTAGACAAAGATAAACTGCATCTTAATGAAAAGTATAATTTCCAGAAAATGATGTAATAATTTGTTTTAGCTTTATTACAATAAATAAAAATCTAAATCCAACCCGTATTTTGCTGTTTTGGACTACAATTACAGAGAACTATTATTTTGAAAGGACTGTCAAGTCCAGTGGCGCGTGTTAATTACGTCATGTTGTCCTCTGACGCACGCAGTGGTAGGTCAACGTGATTTGTGGGGCAAATGAGCTGAGCACACCTTGTGTTAACCGAGTCTGTTTACTTTAGGTTACATGCATGTTTTAAGTTGAAGTTTTGTACAGTAAAAGATGTCTGCATTTAGTAGGAGCGCACTGCTGTTCTCTCTTGTTCGCTCTGTCAGGAGACAGCAGCAGTTTCCATGCCTGGAGACTCATATCAAAACTGCGCAGTCTACAGCAGCACGAGGTCGGTATGTTCATTCATGTTCAGCGAGATATTTAGCTGACCGCGAATTCAAGCATCCATGGACATTATATCAAAGAAGCCTGTCCATTGAGGTACCTGATTGATTTATGTACAAACACGTCAACACTGTTCCAGACACAATTTACTGTTTAACTCTTTTCTCATGACACTATTCTTTTAATGTTTTAGGCACCATCTAAAGATGATGAGTACCCACCTCTACCTGAATACTCCCATAAGCCAGAGATCCAAGCAAAGGAAGTGTTCATCGTCCAGGTCAGGGGGCTTCCCTGGTCATGTACTGCAGAGGACTTAATAAACTTCTTTTCTGGTACTTGTTTTGATATTTTACAGTCTCAGAAATTATTTTGGAGACATGCTGTTGTTCCTCTATTTGATTTGGTCAGTTGAAGGTTTGTTAACCTTGAAAAGCCTTACATGAAATAAGTCAGAAATGTAATTTTAAATGAAACCGTTTATTTAAAATTTTGACAAAATATATAAACGAAATCTTTTAAAAATGTTGCATATGTGTTTTATGTTTTGGCCCATGATGCAGTGCGAGGTGTAAAAAACAAACTTTCCTCAGAAATCTGTTAGCATATTTCAAACTTTTATTTTTCACATGATTTGTATGTATGGACCATAGTATGGACAATCACATTGCTTCAGTCCAGTAAATGTTCTACTTGAATATTAATAGCAATATAAACGTTTTTTCTCGGGTTTAATTTGAGACAGGGCCTTCTCTGTTGCAGCTCCCTGTTTATGGAACAGTCTACCCCTCCATGTTAGATCTTGTGCCACCCTTGATGCATTTAAATCTCTTTTAAAGACTTATCTCTTCTCTCTTGCTTTTGACTGTAATTAAATTCTTGCAATTGTTTTATACTTTGTTTTATAATCTTAGATTATATGTGCTGGGCTATATGTAAAGCACTTTGGCCAACGTGTGTTGTTTTTAAACGTGCTATATAAATAAATGTGATTTGATTTTGATTTGATTTAATTTATAAAAAATCATTAGATTTCACAGCAAAAATACATGTTTCACAAGCTGAATGTGGACGTCATTAAAATTATACTAAAAGGCCCTTTACCTGATTAAAAAGTATGAACTATCATTATTATAATTCAGAGGCCTTAGAAATTCAAGTAATTCAGAAATGAAGTAAACATATACCCTCACTGTATGGATGTCGCTGTTCTGAAGATGTTCTGATATAATCAAGTACACTTTCTACTTTATTTATTTTTATTTTTTATTTTTTTCAGATTGTAGGATTCGAGCTGGAGTTCAGGGAATCCATATAATTCACAACAGGAACGGCAAGCCGACAGGACAGGCGTTCATTGAGCTGGAGCACGAAGAGGACGTTTGCAAAGCATTGGATCAGCACAAGCATTACCTGGGACAGCGCTATGTTGAGGGTAAGCTGATTTTGAATAAATAACCTATTCTTGTTTTTTTGTGTGTGTGCGTTTATCATGTTTTTAATTGTACATAGAGTTGATATAGTGAACACTGGTGTCATGTGTTTCAGTGTATGAGATAACAAACAAAGATGCTGAAGCCATATTAAAGGCTACACAGCCGATCACGGAGTCAGATGGAGTGGTGCGACTCAGAGGGCTTCCCTTCAGCTGTACCGAGAAAGACATCATTCAGTTTTTCTCTGGTGAGAGATAATGTGACATTTGAACATCATTGCACTGATAAAAGCCTTATGCTTCATTTGTCTGTTTTGATGTTCTCAAAACAGGGTTGGATATTGTCAAAGATGGAGTTACAATAGTCCTGAACAGGAAAGGAAGAAACTCAGGCGATGCTTTTGTGGAGTTTGTCACAAAGGAAATGGCTGAAAAGGCATTAAAGAGAGACAGAGATGTCATTGGAAACAGGTTGGTATATCAAGTAATACTTGACACAAAAGAATGCAATTATATTGTTTTTCAGGAATACGTTATGTATGTTTTTTTTCCTTTGAAACTGTTAAATATGTTTGCACAGCTGTCTTTGAATGAGTCTTTTAAGGGTACGTTTACACGACAACGATCCTACTTTAAAGTGAAAAGTTTTTCCTTTGCATTTTTCGTGTACTGTACAGGCAACACCATAGTCAAAACGATCCCCGTTCACACCGATCCGTGAAAACGACTAAAAACGCTGTGTTATGCATGCCATGTTGATGTCACTTTGTAAAGAAAGACTACACACCCATAGACTGAACACGTAATACGCATGTACATGATGTCACAGTTTTCACAAATTTGTGTTTTTTAGTCTACACAGAAGAAGACGATGGCATCGGTTTCAAAAAATGTGTACTTTGAAACCGGTTTTCAAAAGTTTTCAGGACCCCAAAATGCTGTTGTCGTGTAAATGAACGGCCAAAACGCGTAAAAAGTTTTCCGTTTTTAGTTAAAAAAACGGTGTCATGCCAAAAATATTTAAGATGTACTAAAATGTTTTGGATCTGTGTTTATAAAGTTTTTTTTTCCTCGTATGCAGGTATATTGAGATTTTTCTCAGCAGGAAAAGTGAGATCCAAGTCCAGTATGGAAGTAGGCGAAATGAGACTTCAGCTTCCACACCAGGAGCTGAGGACACGCCCCGCAAAATAAAAACAGGTAAGATGTTTATTACAGTGTCCCTTAACATCCAGACTTTAAAAATTATTACATATCTTGTATACTGTGTGCACTCCCAAGCATCTTTCAAGGACTCCGTGTGTCCTTAAAAAGTCTTAAATTCAGTTTTATCAAATTTAAGGCCATACAAAGTTTGAATACATTTTATTAAATCAATTTGCATTATCATTCAGCCCGTCCGCTGTTTTAATTTAGTCTAGACCGGTAGTATTCAAATGGAGGACCATGGCCTGGTTCCATGCGCACTGCGGGACATAATTGCGCGCCATTATATTATTTCTAGTTCAAAGTCGGCAGCGTGTCAAAACAACGGACAAGCGCTCCGGGTCGTTTACAGTAATGACCTTTCAGCGCTACATCCTCTAATATTTTTATCTAGATCCAAATGTGCTTCATTCAAGCCCTTTTCGCTCTGTGCGCATTGCTTCTCCCGCTGAAGATGCTAAAGAGCCACATTAAGAGCTGCAGATGATGCGGTTATTTTAACCACAGTAGCGGAAACACGGTGAGCAGTAAAATAGATACTTTTACTAAAACGCTGCAGAAAACGAGAATGCAGCCAGCAAATACAATTATTTGTATCTGTCATATGACTATGACCGTTTGACTAAACCAGGTTTTTGACAAGTTAACTTGTGGCACCTTTAAACGTTTTGATGTTTTCCCCATACATTTAGCATTATTAATCAGCATATTAAAAGCATTTGATAATTTTAAACAATGCTATAATTTAGGAAAATTATTTAGAGGTGGCAAGGAAAGACAAAACAATTACTAGTTAACTTTGTTTTTGTTCATGAGAGTTTTGATTATGTTATGCAAGTTGTTTGTTTTTAGTAGTTTATTACTTTGAGCAAAATATAAAAATGGTCCATACTGTTCTTGAGAGGTAAACCCTACACCAGTATGTTTTATCAGTCCCATGACCTTCTATGTGCCATAACACACAAGTGTCTAAATGTAAAATAATAATAACAATAAAAATAGCCTGATAAAACATCTGATCTAACCTTTTTTATATTCATATCCAGTTGGGATATGACTTTTTTTTTGGTAAATATTAGTAAAAAACATTGTTGCTTTAGTTCTCGGGGCACAAGATTCTCATCTTTGATGACTTTTTTGAGTGTTTAGGATTTTTTCTTTTACATAATACTATGGCTGCCCCAACTGTTCCAAAATAGTATTGTCCGGACCTCCGCTGCGAAGGAAATAGAGAGACCGGATCTCTTGGAACTTTAATTGAATAACCCTGGTCTAGACCAATACAAAACTCACAGCATTTTACACAGCATACACAGTGTCCTAAATGCTAAATGGAAGCTAATGTGGATTCTAAAAATATAAACAATTAGGAATATATTATATATACATTTTTTTATATAATTTATAATTTTGACCTATTCTTAAATGGAGGTTTATCATTTTATAAAACGTCATAAGTGTGTTTGAGTTGTAAAGTTGTTTAAATCATGGTATCAAAAATAATTTTCCGGTTTAGTATGTTACCATAGACATTGCGCTACCCTGCACACAGTATCAATTTTATCTTTAAAAGTTTTAAATTTGATTGTAAAAACCTAGCAGATACCCTGATTTTATTTTTGTTCACAGCAAATGCTAGCCCTATATCAGCAACAGTGAACCTTGTTCAAATGAGAGGTCTGCCATATGAAGCCACAGGAGAGGACATTGTAAAGGTAAAGTGTTATATTGAATATATTCTATTTAAGATATAGCATGATTTTTATTTATTTTTGCTCTTCATGTGTTTTACTGTCAGTAAGGTGGTCAAGAGGAGTGTAATATTACAGGTTTTAATAGTTTATGTAATTATTAAAAACTTATTTGACCTTGTGCAGTATCTCAGTACTGAATGACTGAGGTGTAGTTTGTGTTCCAGTTTTTCGCTCCCATCAGACTGGTGAAGGTTCTTGTAGAGTACAGTTCTAACGGACGACCCACCGGTGAGGCAGAAGCCTACTTCCAAACACATCAGGATGCTGTGTCAGCCATGTCCAAAGACAGAGAGTATTTAAGTAAGCAATGAATATGTGTGATCTTCTGAAATAACCCAAATGTGGCCCAAAATGTTTAATATAACATGAAGTGATTAACATGTTTTTTGTTTGTGTATGTTTTTCTGTCATCCAGATGAGCGATATATTGAGTTGTTCCTCAATTCATCAGCATCAAGGGAGGAACAATAGGACGACAGTAAACTGTATTTAAATGCATCCCAATGTGTTATTCAATGTATGATTATATTTACAAGAATACATAAAACCAACATTAAAAGAGAACTTTACTGATATTTACTGTTGTTATTTCTTGTTTTCAGACATTCATTTCTGATTTCAGATCGAAACAATGTTAACAGAATAGTCATGTGTACTAGAAGTGTCCAATGTTTAAAAAAAATAAACGTGTTCCGTCGTTGTACTTGTAACTTTGTGAAATCTTTCATGCACTTCAAATAGAGATATAATTATGTTGTTTATCCCAGGCTTACCAAGCCATTGCACCAACATTTAATTCTGCCATACATTTGTTCATGCATTTCCAAACACATCAGGATGCTGTGTCAGCCATGTCCAAAGACAGAGAGTATTTAAGTAAGATGTGTGAAACATTTATACATTGGTCATGTATAAAATTGGCTTAGACTGAAGAATCCACATTATAATAACATTTTATTGCATAGCTAATAATAATAAAATACATTACATGGCAGGCATAAAACTACCTTTTATCTCATTATTTCATAACATTTTAATGTAGTGTTCCATAATTTGCTGTTTTGTCTGAACTGTATCTTTTCTCACAATTTATGAATGTTGGACTCGGAAGAGTTTAAAATGTTAATGTATGTGCCTTCTTCAGTGCATAGTTTTCAAAAAGCTGAAAATACTATCCTGTCTACAATCGATCATCATAATTCAGGTTGTTTTATTAAGACATCACTATTATGTTATTGTATCATCTTACTAGCAATATTAATTGGAGACAATTCAAGTACAAGAACTGCATAAATCCACTTGGTGGACAGCTTCACTCATCCGCAAGAATTATACGTTCTTAAAGCATTTCCAACAAAGAGCTGGTAAAAATCATCCCTTTTTGGCAAATGTTGTGTGCAAAAAACAACAAAAAAAAAAATGTACTGATATGTTGTATGACTGAGATGCCCGAAACTGATAAGATGATCCAGAATGTGATGTGCAATTTATGTACAGCACCATTTACGTTGATAAACCGTTAAAGCTACTGACAGGACAGTCTGTGCTCGAGCTCAGGATGGGGAGGACCCGTACTGCTGCAGTAACTGTGAGTAGCAGACGTCACACACGTGCTCAGGGTTGATGGAGGAGGGCAGAGGGAGTTCATTAGCCATGCAGTTCTCGCAGAACACGCCACTGCAGTTCTTGCACTGCCTCTGAAATAGTTCAAAAGATAAACCACTTGTAAAACAGTTCTATTCCATAGTTCTAATACTGACGATCACAGTACTGTAGTGTTGTCACGATACCAAAATTATTGTTTCGATACCGATACCAAGTCAAGAATTGCGATTTCGATACTTTTTCGATACTTTTCCTGAAAAGGGAGAAACACTCTCAAATATCATTGCTGTGCTTTATTTTAAAACTGGGACAACATTCCAATCATAACACACTAATAAATGAACATTTGAACAGCAGATAGGCTATAATAACCATTTGAACAAAATATGAAATATGAAAAATATAAAAAATAAATTAGAGCAATGACATTCAAGGTAAAAAAATAAATAAATTTAGCAGCATTATCTCAGTTATCATAAGAAACATAAGATTTTATCAATAGCAATGCCACTGACGATTCTGCTTATCGATCCGATTCTTTAACGATTCTCTTATCGATTCATGATAGCATTGTGTGGAAAAAAGTAGTCATATGCTTTTTCGGGGGGAAAAAACAAGTGTTTTTATTTGTTTTATGTAATAAATGAAACCTTATTACAAAGTGTTAACGATTAGTTATACACCGATTCAGACAGATCAGTTGTTTTAACCATTCATTAAAACGAATCGGTTCAAATGAGTCATTAGTTCGCGAATTGGACGTGTCATTATCGGACGTGTGCGCGTTGTGTGATTATCCAGGCGGTTACATCCCCACTGTCATCACAGAAAACATTTCATGACTGGATAGTTTTTTTCGTTTATTTAAAGTGTGGTTTATGTCAGCTGAATGTGCGGAACGATTCAGAGAAGATAAGGCAACGTATTTTACCACAATTTACACCCAGCGGTAATTCAGAAAAAAAAAAAAAAAAAAAACTCCGAATGCTCCACATGAAACTTTAGTCTCCCGACCTTACCATCGTGTCGAATTATTTTGATTAATATGTGCGAGGGAGAGAGAGAGAGCAAGACAGCGCTTAGTTTTGAGACGGTGAAGCCTTGTTTATTACCGGGGCTCGCTCACTCTCTCTCTCTCTCTCTCTCTCTCTCTCTCTCTGCTCGTTCAGTTCACGCGCCCTGTCACACGCGCATGAGGAGAAAAACGCAGACGTCCATAGGGAGGCACTGGAAGCGTGCGTTGCACACACCAACATGCAATACTCTCTTACAAATCTGGAACGCGGTCATTCTTAGAAGTATCGATACTAATAAATTTAGGTATCGTGAAGTTTTTAATTTCCGAGTATCGCGATACTTTTGAAGTATCGGTGCACCGTGCAACACTACAGTACTGTAATCACAACAGTGCTCAATCAATATGTATTATGTTGTGCTTTAGTCATTGAGGGGGGAAAAAACGGGAATATGGATAGATGGAACAAAAGTATGTGTAATTTAATTTATGAGTATTTATTTGAACAAAAATAGCGTTAAAACGAATACTGTGAATCACTATTATAACAACTTTTCTATTTTAAAATGTGATTTATTCCTGTGATGGTAAAGCTGAATTTTCAGAAGCCATTACTCCAATCTTCAGTGTGTCACATGATCCTTCAGAAATCATTCTAATAATCAATAGTAAAAACAGTTGTGCATCTTAATATTTTTTGAAAACTGATATTTTTTTCAGGAATATTTTGTACCATGTCAAATGTCTTTTCTGTCACTTTTGATGTGTCCTTGCTGAATAAAATGATTAATTAAAACAAAATGTACTGACCCCAAACGTCTGAATGGAAGTATAGTTCAATAATGACGTGCTATTAAAAAGCAATGATCTGTTTAATGAGGAATTTAGAGTTGGATTGCTTTGGTACCTTGGGTGTAGTCAGAGAGTCTTGATTTTCACACATCGGGCAGATGGAAGGGTCAACATCTTTACAAAGAAACTGGTCCTATCAAATAAGAGAAATTCGTGAATATTAACATAAGAAATGATTGCAGGGAACTTACAAAAAAGATAACAACAGAAGAATTACTGATCAAATGTACCTGTTCATCTTCATGTGACAGTGTCCTGAGAGAAAGACAGTTTTAGTTTAATTTTGATAACATTGAAGTAAATAATTTCAGTTGTATGCAACTGGTTCTGCATTTAAGATAGACTTACAAACTGGAACTTAGACTTGACTTGTCCTCAAGTGCAGTACGCAATGTATAATTTTCTTTTTTGACAGACTCTAACTCCTATATAAAAACAAAAAGACTGAATTTCAGGGAACAGCACACTACATATAGTGAAAGCAACTGAATGGCACGATAGGTCTCGCCTTTCTGATGTCATCCACGTGTTGCCTCATGTCTCTCTGCGGAGGCGTTTTTCCTAACAGAGCTTCAGAAGTTTGGCCTCCAGGATGCTCTCTCCATTTCTTGAGCTCTTGTTCCAAAATCCATCTATCACACCAAGAAAGACAAGGTCTTGATAACTCTTTCGTGAGACGATGATTATAATTTCCACAACATTAGCCGTGGCATCTGATACAATCATAACGACAACTAACTTTCAGTCAGTATATAAACAATAAAATAATGATAATAAAATGTATATTTTTAATTAAATTTATATTTGGTTTAACAATAAATGTCTATATTTGTTATCAAAATACAGTAAAAACTGTAATATTGTAAAAGATTATTACATATTACTTTTCTATTTGAATATATTGTAAAATGTAATGCATTCCTGTGATGCCAAAGCTGAATTTTCAGCATCATTACTCCAGTCCAGTCACATGATCCTTCAGAAATCATTCTAATATGCTGATTTGCTGCTCAAGAAACATTTATTATTATTATCAATGTTGAAAACAGTTGTGCTGCTTAGTATTTTTGAATCTGACTAACACCAATCTCTTGAACAACAGTACTGTAAATGTAGAAATTACCATTATTATTCAATATTAGTTCATGGTGCGTAATGAAGCAATTAATAACGAACCAGATCTTTTGCTTTCTAGATATTAACCACTGAAACAAAACATATTCTCAGTACCTCTGCCGTCGTAATTGCTCAACCTCTTGCTGAAGACTCGCAATCTTGTCCCCAAACTCCTCCTTGAACAGCCGATTGGCCTCATCCGCCAGGTCCCGCTCTCTTTCTGCCTTCTTACATCTGAAGTTGGGCCACATTAACTTAATGAGGTGAAATGAAAACTTAACTAAACTAAAAAGCCATGGAAAAACGAAGAAGATAAAAGCATAAAAAAGAACTGAGGGAGGAACTTAAAAGACAGCTAGAGAGGACAGGAGGAAACATGTGACTAGAGCAGAAACTGTAAATACTCAAGAAGACAAAGCAGTCTGAGAAGTGTCTGATTTTTTTTTTATTAAGCTATATTTGTACTACAGTTCACATCTATATTATGTCTACATACACTTCAGTCCGTTCACAAATTAGAGGATTTCATCATCCAGACTTTTTGCAGAATCTGTAAAGCTTGGTTTCACAAATATCTTTCCAAAGCTTCGACATTTGGCATCAAACTACCACTCCATCAAATTCAGATTTCAATTAAGTTTACAATAAGCTGTCAAATAATTCAGGCACGCAATCTTGCACTCATCATCATTTCTTGCAAAAACAAAAAGCTAACATAATCTCCTGAATATGCCTGAAAGAAACATATTCAGTTCATTTGTTTAGCTTGGGCATCCAAAGCACTCAACATCATCAAACTTAAGCAAGATTTGTGAGAGGTCAACCAAAATTAACCGAATAATATGGTGTTGCATACTATCATATAGACTATAGAGTATAAAACGATTGTACGTTTTTGTTAGGAATGTTTCCCCCGTGCTGGACTGAAGTGTGTTATGGTTTTTATAATGCACCAACTTTGAGAAGTGTCCTGCTATCCTCTTTTTTCAGTATTGAGAAGTAGAGATATAAGAGAGATGCATTTCCATTACTTAAAATTAACGTCTGCCATCTTAAGTTCGAAGATTGGCCAAAACAGCTGCATTTTACTTCGGTTAAAACATACAGAGGGAGACTAGAGACAGGAGCACTGGATCAGGCATACAATATTGAAAAATGAGGGTTGACGCAGAAGCAAGATCTGTAGTTTTCAGTCCGGTTCCAAGACAAAATAACGGCAATGGATCTTGACACCCAGTAATAAAATAAATACCCTAGTCATCTATGTTATGCGAAATCAAACCGAAGATCAGATTTGATTTTTTTGGAAACTATCCGGTGTTTGTGATCGTTTTATTGCTGCCTCTGAAGGAGTTTTCCAGCAGCTGTGTTCAAGCTTCGTGCCTGTTTAGCCATGTCGTTCTCACTGCTCAGGAAAAATGAGTAGAAACACAAGAGAATGAGCATGCGACAAATGAACAGGTAAAAGAGAAGAAGGGATTAAGAGAAGACAGAGACAGAGAGCAGAAGTTATTTTTAGAAAGACTGTTGACGACCTGTGGGAGGCAGCAATGTTTCTCTAAAAAATGAAACAGGAAAGAGTGGACTTGTCTTATTAGTGCTCTATATGTGATTTGCACTTTCTCTTTTTTTATGATCAATCTTGATCACCGATCTGAAATCTGCCCACCCTGAACAATCCATGCTTGGAAAATAATTGTTATAAACAGTGGGATTCAAAAATCCACATTGAAAGTTTATGATTCAAAATCTAATTTCTCATTTGCTATAAAAAATGGTAACACTTTACAATAAGGTTCAATGTGTTAACTTTAGATTCATATTGTTAAAGTCCCCCTGTGGTGCAAATCAAGATTTTAATGTTGTTTATGTCTATGAGGTGTTTTTAATATGCTTTAAGACAACCCATGTGCAAATTCATAAGTCAACACCATTGCTGAGTATTTTCTCCTTAAAACTGCAGTGAACCAAAGACAGTCTCACAAACGCAGTTACTACCTTACGTCAACGTGTGATCGTCAACGAGTGGATCTCTGAGCTGGTGCGAGTGAGTGGAGGCGTATCCACGTATACTAAATGAAGCAAGGGTGTAGAGTTACATTAAAGCTATTTTAAGGCATGAAGAAATATTTTTCAAGGAAAAAAAAACGTTTAAATATGTCATTTTGGTGATCAAGATGAGTTTTAAGGGATATAATTATTGATTAAAGGGGGACTTTAACTACAAATCCTTTTAAAGCATACTTTAGATTAAAGGTGCCATATATGTAATTTTGTTTTACTGTACTATAGCATAAAAACGTTTGCAGATATTTAGGAAACATGCCAAGTTCTAAGTGTCTAAGAAAAACTATGCTACAGCCACTTATTCTGCTTTGAAATGTACGTTCCATGTCAGAATGTCTGTTTTTGTTTTGGTCTGTGTAATTACGCCCACTGCCAATTACCCAATAGTATTTCGACACCCCAGGTTGCCAGTACTGTAGCCATGGAAGCCAGCAAACTAACTGGGTCAGAGATCGCAGATTATACCAGACTAAAAAGCCTCACCATCCATCTAAAAATCTCTATGAACAAAGGCATATTAAAACGCGGATAAATCAACTCATAAACTTACAGTGTCAAGGCCCTTTCACACCGGACGCGTAACGAAAAAGCGAAACGGAAAAGCGAATAGTTCGCGTCAAAACCATTCACATCAGCCGCGACGCGAATTTGCGACGTTCAGAGCTTCAACATTCCAAAACTTTCGCGCCGACAGCTGAGAAAACACGGACACTTCATCATCATCATCATCATCATCATCCAGTGAAGACGAGCTTTTCGTTTTCTTTATAAAGACAGAAAAGAAGGTTTTGTGTGCACCCAATCTTAAAGAACAGAGAGTCTGAAGGGGAGTATGCTAATCTTGTAAAGTAGCTAAAACTTTGCCACAAAGAACCGGCCAAAGTAAGGATTATGCATTCAACATTTGAATTGTTTATTAATAAAGTGTTTTCTGTCAGTTTTCGGTCTGAGACGCGCTCCAGTTCACGCGCCGGCGCCTCCGTGTCCTAATTATATTGTCTACTATATTTGCTTCTTATTCCTATTAATCCAGGCAATTTGTTGATGAAACATTGATTAAAATTAAGATACAATTTATACAAAACGAAATTCACTTTAAAGAAAGGCTTTCTACAAAACAAAACTTAAGTGGTCAAAATTATGTCTGACCCATTCCAAATGTTTTCGATATATTGGGCATCTTATGATCCTTACTCATCTCATGCGGTTCCCTTTTCATATAGATCATCAACATAGATGAAATAAAAAAAATAGCATTATATTATTTAAACGTATGAAACGTATGTTTTGTTTGAGTTTTTTAACTTATAGGCCTATTTAAGCGTCACCCCGCTCCGCTTTATTTACGCACATGCTCTGGTGTGTGGCCTATACATGCATGCAAAAATAATATGAAACACACAACCATGAATGTTGAAAATATTCCAAATCAATTATTTCCCTCCTAGTCAAAAATATTATAAATCATCAGCACGCACTTCATCAACTCGCCGGAGACACCAACTATCCCAGCTATTTTATCCCATGCCTCGTTCTTTTGCTGGTAAGAAACACCGTCATGCCATAAATGATAGGGTATGCGTGCGTTGAGATGCGGAATAGGCAATATAAAAATGCTGTCATTATAAAAGGTTTCTAGTTTCAATGTATTGCTTGTTTTTAGTTTACATTTCATGTTGTGATACTTCTCTTCTCTCGCACATAATGCTGCTACGTCAGAGCAGCCAAAGCGTCAACAAGCTTCGCCTTTGTTTCCTTGTATGTGATTGGCTGAAGCCTTTTCTGTCGCCGCAAAAGTAAAAAAAAATCGACATCGAAGCGAAAAAAATAAAACTCGTTTTTTCGCCGCAGCACATTCGCATTCAGTGTGGCAGCACTCATTACACAAACAGCTGATCAAAAAATAAAACTATCGCGCGAATTATTCGTGTGTCAAAATCGCGTCCAGTGTGAAAGGACCTTTAGGCTCATTGCCTTCCATTGTCAATTGCACTCGTTCCTGTTGCATGTCCTTCAACTGGCAACCCGCGTGAGCGTCAAGTCTGAGGAGGAGCGGGCGGGAGAAATAACCCTCTCCAATATTTTGAATTTAGACTGTAGTACCCATTTCAACCTCTAGCTGTCAATATTACATAAGGCACCTTGAAATGTTAATTTATAAATATATACAGTACATAAATATTAAATATATAAATTGTTCTTTAGTTAATGTTCAGTCATAATATATTAAAGGGATACTCCACCCAAAAATGAAAATTCTGTCATCATTTACTCACCCTCAAGTTGTTGCAAACCTGTATGAGTTTCTTTCTTCTGCTGAACACAAAGGAAGATATTTTGAAGAACGATTGGAACTTTGGCAGCATTGACTTCCATAGTATATATATGTATTTTCTACTATAGAAGTCAATGGTGCCAAACAACTGTTTGGTTCCAATCGTTCTTCAAAATATCTTCCTTTGTGTTCAGCAGAAGAAAGAAACTCATACAGGTTTGCAACAACTTGAGGGTGAGTAAATGATGACAGAATTTTCATTTTTGGGTGGAGTAACCCTTTAACAATAAATCAAATGTAAAATCAATTAAGCATGATCACTGAATTATATTATTCTGTATTCTATCTGCATAACATCTGGGATTCAAAATCTAATTTCTTTTAAATCAAGACTATTTTTAGGTTATAGATCAAATAATAAAAATTGTGGCATTGATAATTTGACTTTGGACAGACAGTCAGATGTTCTTCCTTTGCATTTTTACTTAGCACTACAATTACGATACTAATAATATAATTAAATCAGATTTTAGAAACAAGAGGCCTTTTCACTAGTGCTCTTAAGACTTTGTTTTTACAGTATCCATGTCATGTGTAAATGCTGTGCTGTGCTCACCTGCTCTCCAGCTGTTTAATAATGCTCCCCATCTGGTTTGTTTTCTCCTCCAAGCGGCTGATGATGTCACTCTTCTGTTTTGCACCGGTCTCTGAGCTCTACAGGCCAGACACACACCAATAACATGCTACATCAAAAATAAATGCAGTTTTGCTACACTAGATTTAAGCAGTACTAATGCAGTTGTAATGTTCTTAATCTTATTAACAATTCCTCACATAAAAGTCACATGAAGTTTAATAATCCATTATTAAACAATGGATGGTTAGCTACCCCATTATTTTATGTTGCTTCATAAAAAGTATATATATCGCAAAAAAATATTTAGATTACTCTAGTACATTTTTAAAAGTCCTCTGCCAAGTTCGACACACTATGTGACTTGGCACCGTACGTCTACTTTCTTCTTTAAATTGGCAGTGTCAAATCCAATCACTTCGTTTTCACTCCGCCAAGGGTTAACCTGTTAATATGGGTGCTTACACAATGCTTTTGTATGTCTTTATAAATAAATAATTAAGAGTGTGTTTTGTTGAGACTCGAGAAGCAGCTCCCATGATAAACCTGTAAATTGTTTTGTTTTCTCTCATACCTGTGACTTAACGGAGAGCTCATGGTTGAGTGTACGCAGTTCATCTAACTGCTGTCTGAGCTCCACCAAAGCGTCATGTTTTTCACAGATGTCCTTCTCTAGCATCTTCATGGACAACTCCATCTCCTGCTTCATCCCTATTTGCACCTCAAGCTCCTTCTCCACATCCTACAGACACACAAACAGGCTCTTAAGACTTCCCGAAAGAACTCGGACTCGATTCTTTGAAGAACCCACATCAGAGATGAATTTGAAGATGAGCAATTCACACACAGTTATTAATGTTTTACTCACCAGTCTGAGCTGAGTTTCCTCTTTGAGCTGTTTGCGAGTTTCTCCGAGCACTTGACCGTTTGCAGTACCATCTGCCCTTGATGCCTTCAGGAGGAACATAGGTCGAGAATATCAGACAACAAAGCAAAGCGCAACCAAAACAGTGTTATGACTGCACACTGTGAACTCAGTATGTGCTTACAAAAGTAAGCTTGTGGTTTACTTTTAAATAATGAGTAACATGCAGTCAATCGTTGTTGTTTGACTAAATGATTGTTAACAGTCAGTACTTCAATGATATTACTGTGGGTTCAACACAATGTTGTTCACCTTGCGACTAGACTCCACTAAGTAAGAACTTTCCTCCTTCACTCTTTCCAGGTCCTCCTGCAGAGTGATGATCCTGTTGTTTGCGACAGCAAGCTAAGTAACAAGAACATTATATTTGTTTTATTAAATACAGTTCAACATTAATAATTTCACAAAAGATGTCAAACAAATACAGGTCTTTTGAACTTTCTATTCATCAAAGAATCCTGAACGATGTACCAAAGTTTCCACAAAACTATTAAGTAGCACAAGTGTTTTCTTTTCAACATTGATAATAATGAGAAATTGTTTTGAAGAAAAATTCTTGAGCAGCAAATCAGCGTATTAGAATGATTTCTGAAGGATCATGGTACACTGAAGACAGGAGCAATAACTGAATTGAGCCTTGCCATCACAGGAATAAAATACATTTTAAATTGTAATAATATTTCACAATTGAACTGTTTTTACTAGTTACTGTTTTGATCAAATAAATGCAACCTTGGAGAGCATAAGAAACTGTTCAACGGTAGTGTGAATGCAGTTCCATTTCATTTAAATCATTTATCAGTCATGTATTTCCCATAAACTTCAGTAATCCATTAAGTTATAATTATAACCCACCTCCTCTGTAAGTTTTGTGTTGGACTTTTCCAGCGCATCCACTTTGGCTTGCAGATTATTCACTGACGCACTGGGAAAGGGGAATTAAAAGTGACAATGTGAGATTGCTAATGGTTTCCAAATGAGCAGCTACTTACAATCACAACCCACAAGGCTGATGTTGGGTAAAGCAACTGCACCTTAAATGTCTGTTCAGTTCCTCCACGTAATTCTTCTGGTCAAGAATAGCTGTAATCTGTCCATCGCTGCAAGCAAAGAGCAGCTTTAGAAGCAGCACTGAGCTTTTCACAATGAGTCCAAAAGCTGTCAAGACTAAAACAACTAGCTTCCATTGAGGAAGTTGAACTTAGACTTACCCCTCTGTGCTTTTGCTACTGTGCGCACCATCTTTCAGATACATGGAAAAGTCTATGACTCCAACCTATAAACAGAGTAAAAGAGATCTTATTACCCTGTAAAAACAAATAAATTAACTTTTTGGCAAGCACACTTTAGAGAATAACATTGACAGCAAAGTTGTTCTATCATCTGTTGTCCTCCATTGCTTGTGTTCAGTAAAAAGTAACAAACCTGTGAGTCTAAATCTTCTCCCTTCATACACAAGTTAGCATCAATGACATTCAGGCCCACCAACAGCCCAGCGATCACGGCTCCTTCCTCCTCCATCATAAGAGCGTTGGGCTCATAGAATTCACTGAGGAAAAAAACAACAGCAAATATAACATGTTGAAAAAACTGGATTGCAAGACCACAATTACAGCTTTTATATCAAAGACCAAAGGCAGGAACTGTAGTGTACCTGAGCAGGTCTTTTCGGTTGATGATGGTCTTCATGTAATCTGAGAGTTTCTTCTGCATCAAGGCCAGGCGAAGCCATGCTCTGCCTCTTCCTAACGGGGTTCTGAGATAAAAGAACAACTTCAGATTTCGAAACACAAAATAAAATACCACGTTCAAGTTGAAGATGTTTTCTTACTTGAGCCCAGGAAGGTCTTTGACACTGGCTGTGATCTCACCAGCTTCAGGAGTCAACTTTTCTACAAGCTCCAAAGGACCCCAAAAAGACTTATTTTGACCAAGGAACGTCTTCTTACCTAAAAAAAACAGGAGACCTTTAGAAGAAGAAAACCTGGAGACAGACTGAGACAAAGAAATAAACCTGTTAAAGACTTGGATTCACTGTACTGTACATTAAATGTCCCAACCATGGTGTAGTTGCACAATAACTGTCAAGGTTAAGCATTACAAAACATACTGGTACACTGTACTTACGGGATTATAAAATGGTATACACAACACACCAAAGTACTGTGCAATCAGTAACTGTCAAAATTAATGAACAAATGATCATGTTATTATTACGTAATGGACATAAATGATGACCAGAGATTACTCTGCGGACAGTGGAATTATGGTTGGGATTTTTTCTGCTTACTTTTAAGTCCATGTTTCAGGCAGTGCTCCATGACGACAAAAAACTGCTGCAACGGGGCATAGTCTGAGTCAAGCGTGCGGCCCAAGTTCAATGCGGACTCGATCAAGCCCTTGATGCTCAGCTTGGCCATGTTCATCAGGTTAAGCCTCTCGATGGCAATGGGGTCTTTGGGATCTGGAGTAAAACAGAAATTCAAACATTATGTTAGATATGATACAATTCTCTCACTGTGACTTCTCCTACACACAGTATTTAACATGATATGAAAGCAGTATATGAGAGTTTGGACTAGAGAACTTTCCATTGACTACGACTACATGGTTTCCTCTAAACCTGGCAAAAAAACAAAAAAATTTAAAATAAAATAAAATCTGGTTGATGCCATTTGAAATGCATCAGATGTGGACTGATTGCATTACAACATGCAATCAAATTTTCAGATTAAAGGGCGTCTTGATAGAACAGATTATCGTTTTGTTTGCTGTTGTTTTCAAAATAATCTCCATCCAACCTTACAATGCATGACAACTTACATAAACTATAGTAAATCAATTTTCAGTTCTCAAGCCTCACCCTGTCTGATCCAAAACACACCCACAGTAATGCAATCATTTCATCATCAAGACTCAATCTATGTCTGTAAGCAAATAGCAGTGACCTTTTTTATGAGCACAGCAATGGAAAAGAGAAAGACTGATAAAAGTATTTTCATTTGCTTGGGTTGACTTTATAAATGGGCCAAGATGAGCTAATTTGGCATTTAGTCAAATTTCTCATTATCTCAGTGCATTTACATAGCTCAAAAAAAAAAACACATCTCATTTCCTTTGGTTATTTTTTACAGCACATTGACTCCCTAATACAAAGTTAAAAATGAAGATGTTCAAAGACCTTGATATTGTATAGAATCGCTAATGCAAAGACAAAACCGAAGACATTCAAAGGCCATGAAATTAACAGGAAAGCCAACAGACAGCTTTCAACAGGTACGAATGAAAGACCTTCTTGGTGTAGCTTCACACAGTCACACAGGACAGAGTGAGTCTAGCCATCGCTACTCAAGCCAAAGGTTACACAAACTACAAAAAAACAAAAACAAAGTCTGTCTGTAAAGACAGATTTTCTTATCGATATATAAGAAGTCTCTGAATCATAAACATTTAATGTCTTTTAGAAGCTCTGAAGCGCTTAGAAAATCTAAAGAGCCAGAAATTTATCATGAATGCTGGTAAAACCATGCGATAAAAAAGTCAAATCAGCCAGAGAATGGGGTGGGGCAGTGAGACAGCCAAAGAAAACAGGCCAGACAAGAGTATTCCAGCCAAATGGGTAGCCAGATATTCTGCTAGCTCCAAAGATAGCTAGCAATAAAAAACAGACACAAAGCTATTGACGGAAACTTCAAACCAAAAAACAGGACATTGAAAAAGAGACAGATAAAGAAAACAACAAAAGAACATGAAGAAGGTAAAGCTTTGGAAGCTGTGGTGCGAATGTGCTGTTCAGGGAGGCTGGTTCAGTAAAGACAGGGCGGCGCGGCCACGCCTGCTGTGGTTTTAGGATGGTGCCCGAGGCGGGGATGAGGTGGACTGGGGAGAGTGATGCCACCATACGCACCTTTAAACTCATCAAGCATTTGCATTTGCTCCACCAAATCTGTGAAATCCTCCCATGAGTCTTTGCAAAAGGCAATGGAAAACAGAAAAAAAGCAGAAAAGGATTGGGTCATGCACATCATGGGAGTAAAACAAAGCAACAACAAGAGACACATCATGTTGTAGGATGTTTGCTTGTAGAGTCTTGTCTACAGAGCCAAGCTCTCTTTCTATTCTCACTGTCATACATTAGAGCAAAAATGTTCCTAGTGAATAACTTCAGAAACACTATAACAGAGACTAATAATAGCAATGTTGATGGTCATTAAGAGCCACTATAATGTGTCAGCAATTCTGGATCGGAAGACAGTTACTATGAAGTCATTTGACTACAATAGACAAAGGAGCTCAAATAATTTTCTTCTTGTCCTGGAAGACTCATTGCATCTTATCTAAATCCATTTGTTTGTCAGAAGGCCTCAGGATAGAATGTAATATTTCCTCTTTATCCACAGCACTAGAAGTAATATCCCCAAGTTTTCATTATAGCTTTAAAAGGATAGTTCACAAAAAAAGGAAAGATATCTGTCATTTATTCAATCACCTTCATGTCACTCCAAACCTGTGTGACTTTCTTTCTTTTTTGGAACATAATACAAGATATTTGGAGAAATTGTCTTTTTTTTCCTCTCCATAAAATCTAAGTTAATGGTAAGCAAAACTATCTTGTTACTAATATTTTTTTAAAATATCTTCTTTTAAGTTCCACAGAAGAAAGTAAGTCATACAGATTAGGAAACAACATGAGGGTGAGTAAATGATGACAGAAATTCCCTTTAAGTTCTTCTCTGTCACTTAGCTGTGGGGGGGAAAAGAGAAAGAAAAACAAAAAACAAAGACAAAAATCAAATGACACTTAATGAGGCAGAGCAGTACATTACAAAGAACGTCTGCAAGCAGTGAAACAGACCAAGGGGAAAATGGCAACTAACTAATATTTACTGATTTGCACAATGGATTACTTGAAGAGAACATTTGTTATAAAACATCTATGAAGAAAAGTTACTGTCTTGACTTCATCTGGGTCTGGAAACTGACCTAAAGTCAAAAGTCAAAAAAATGTATGTCATATGTTTGCAAAGGTGCTGCAATTCTTGGAAATGTATGACCAATAAACAAATACTAGACAAATCTGTAAACAGACCTTATCAGATAATGTTTTCTATTCCTTGTCTTGCTACATGCCTGCTTCCTCTTAGCTCAATGCACAGAAAACACATTAGACTGAGATAACTGTTGCTATTAACATGTAGATTCTGGTCTCTACTGCCAATTGAGAAGTATAACATCCCTTTAAGACATTTGATTGAGTTGAAATCTCGGGCACGTTTCCAAGGCAACTAAATTGTGTCCACATGACTGTGTTTCCTGATGTCCTCTTTTAACCTTTGGCACAGTAAGCCGTGACTCTCCAGCAATGCACTGGATTAGCAAAACAATTGTGAGCTCTGACCACAAGTCAACACTATTCTACAAAAAAAAAAAACTATATAGTGCATTATATGTTTTTTCGTTACAAAAGTGAATAAATAAAAAACAAGTTGTAAGCAATTTTGTAAAAAGCCTTTTATTTTTATTAAAAACAACAAAAATGTTGAAAAATCAAACTATATTAAGTCATTTGTAAAGGCACATTCACACCAAGGACGATAACTATAACATTTTAATAATTGTTCTAATTCAGAGAATAGGGAAGTCCATAGCACAGCTTTATTGATAACCACAATATCATTGGAATCACTTTCAGAACTATTTTTTCCAGCTAAAGAACAATAAAAAACATGGACAGCCAATCAAAATCCTGACTTTAAAGAGCTCGAGAAGCTCTAAGAACTCTAAGAACAGAATGTTACCGTTCATATGCATGTATGCTAATATAACTAGCCTTAAAGTTATCTTTATAGTCATCATTTTAGGTGTGAACAGGCCTTTAAAGTCATTTTAAAATATATTATCAAGAATCCAAATATCTTAATAATAGTCTAAATGGAGTTACAGTTTGTCAAAAACTGATTTAGTTTTATTATTTAATTGGAGGGACTTTCATTCTGGTGGATTTTCCCAACAGTGTGATGCACATGCTTAATTTGTTCGACGTGACAATTTAATTGGACAACTTAACTACAAAACAGCATACGAATAGCTTCATTCAAATCATTCAGTGGGAAACAAACCTTCACAACCCCTTGTGCTCCATAAAAACTACATTTCCAGGCAGGCCTGCGGGAACGCTGAGAGCATGATGGTGGAAGGTTGGGCCAGCACCGCCCAGTACGATAAGAGCAACGGAGGCCTAGTGATGCTGTGCGCGCCTACCTTCATGAGCAGGCTCGGGATCAGGCGTGAGCGAGATGTCGTTGAGCTCACGCAGGCACAGCCATTCCCCATCCACCGACACGCGGAAGTTGCATAGGTAGATGGTCTCTCGGGCAGCCTGTGTGATCTTGTCAGTAGTGGGGGTGGGGGCATCGCTCTGGGGAGTCAGATCAGACATGGTGACTCAGCTGATCGCTGCTGCGACGACAACAACACTTACGATGGCGGCCGTCAGCAAAGAGTCAGGTGCAGGGAATAGAAATAATGACTTCTTTTTAAAAATCCAGTCCAAGTAAGAGTCTTCTCCAGGACAAAGGAGGATGGAAAAAAGAGACAAGGAAAACAAAGAAGGGGGAAGAAAAAAAAAATCAACCAGCAGTCCACGCCAAACCTGACCGAAAGGATGCTATTCTTCTGGGCCTATGCTCAACGGCCTCGTCTTGCGAATGAGCGGCGACTGCTAAAATCCTGCGTGTGAATAAAGGCTTCAGTGCTCTCTGGCTCAGCACAGCCAGGGGATTGAGATGCTGTATGAGCCTCAGTGGAGCTACAATCAGAGATGTGTCTCTCTCTCTCTCTCTCTCTCCCTCTCTCTCTCATTCCCTCCCTCCCTTACAGCCCAGCTGCTCGCAGTCACCGGATTGGCTGCACGTTCTGCAAATGGGAGGGTGTTAACCAAGATGGCCGCCATGATGCTGAGGAGAATTGTGGGAGTCACGTGAGCAGATGGTGGAGGGGGCACAGTTCCCGAGAGGCCTGTCAGATGGGGGAAGGGGGGGAGCTGTTGCCAATGATCCAAATGCTGAACAAGAGAAGTATGGAAGCCCTAATGATTGAGAACCAGAACACTGCTGATAAAGCTGCTGTTTACTGAACAACATCTTTAGGAGGAGCAAGATGGCAATTAGTGTAAAATTAAACTGTGTATGAAACAAACAAGTAGCTAAAATTCTACAGACACAATGTGTGATGTGTGTGTGTGTGTGACTGTTTTTTCTGACCATTTTGGGACGGTGTTGTAGAAATATAGAAATTAATATGACAAGGTAGGCCTTTAAAAAAACAAAAAAACAACGCCTTTGAAAAAAAGAAACTCATATGCAAAGTCATGTAAAATGGGGTTTGAATATTAGAAGTAATCTATTAACCTCATTAATTATTTACAAAAGAAAAGCACTCATGCAGGAAACCGATCCATTTATAACACATTGTGTAACACCATTGGGTACGGAGTACGGACATACACTACCGTTCAATTTGAACTATTTTAATTATTTTAAAGAAATGAATACATTTATTCAGCAAGGATGCAAAAACGAATCAGAAGTATAGGGAAACTGAGAATGTTACAGAAGATTATAGTTTGAATAAATATTGTTGCTTTGAACTTTCTAATCTATATAAGACCTATCTATACATGATACAGAAAAACTGTATCATGGTTTCCACAAAAATAATAAGCAGCAGAAAGGTTTTCAACATTGATAATAATAAGAAATGTTTCTTGAGCAGCAAATCAGCATATTAGAATGATTTCTGAAGGATCATGTGACACTGAAGACTGAATTAGTGATGCTGAAAATTCAACTTTGCCATCACAGGAGGACTAAAAAGGACTTTTTCAAAATATATTCACATATCAGTTACTTTAAATCATAATGATATATTACACAATATGACTTTATGATTTTACAACATGATTTTATCAATGCAGTCTTGGTGAGCATACGAGAATTCTTTCAAAAAACATCACAAAAAATATTGTATATCGTAGTGTTGCATCTCTAAAACTAGGCATGTAAATGAAAATACCAAATTCATTTTCACATGAGAGTAATGTCACCATTCAGTGATGCAATACTGAATCAGTTTATCTCAATCTTAGTGAGATAAATCATTACAGATAATGAACCATAATACGGCATTGCATTAATTCACAAATTGCATTGCAATAAACAAAAAAGAGACAATGGGCTACATTGGTCTGATTTAAGAAAAATAATATATATTTAGTTTTCATTTCCACTTCTTCCACAAAACAAGAATATAGGCTACTGTATTTCCAATCTTTCTTTTCTTCAAATGTATGCATTTCTAGAAAGCTGCACTCCAAAATAGCACATATGCATAGCACAACCCTGACAGTGACACACATGCTACATTCAGTGCTGTAATTCTGCTTCATTTGTTCTTTGACCTGGCTGTGATGTACTAATAACAACTGTGAAAAGTATTTACTCGGGTGTTGTTTAACAAGTACAATTTAACCATAAAACCAACAACAACTTCCTGGCTCACAATACCCTAGCATTTTCTATTTTTCAGCTTCTCAAATATGACAGCTATTCAGCTATAGCGGATTTATAGGACAGCGAACTGTTAACTGGTTGCACACTTGCACACAAAATCTCAGCAGATGCATTATGTCCTCCAAGAAATTTTTGCATATGGTTAAATTAATTCTATGTCTTCAGATACCCTAATCTGTTGACAATGACATACTCATGTTGCTTTTTGCAACATGTGGGCAATGATATAAAGAGAACAGAATTGTTGGTGATTGGATGTGACATCACACACCATGAATTATTAAAAATGGCATTTAAAAGACCTGTCCACTATACATCAGAGGATTAAAAAAAAACAATGTTATACTGCAAAAGCATAGCCTATTTAAAAACACAGAAAACCAAGTGACGAACTACGCAGACAGCAGTTGAGCATCACGTGCATTCCAACCATTTCCAGCGTGAAACCCCAACATGCTGCCAAGGTAGGCAGATCACTAGCAATTGATAAACAACCATCTGACAATTACAACCGCCAGACTAAACCTAAAACAGCAGTTCTCATCATGAACATGACCTCAAAGATTAAGAGTTTATCTGAACTGTGTATTATTTGTGGACACTGGACAGTAAAAGGAGAGTTCACCCAAAAATGAAAATTCTCTAATCATTAACTCACCCACAAGTTGCTCCAAACCTAATTTCTTTCTTCTGCTGAACACAAAAGAAGATATTTTGAAGAATGGCAGTAACCAAACAGTTGATGGTCCCCATTGACTTCCATAGTATGAAGGGTGGAAAAACACTATGGAAGTCAAAGTGGTCTAATCAACTTTTTGGTAAACGGCATTCTTCAAAATATCTTCTTTTATGTTCAGCAGAAGAAAGAAATTCACACAGGTTTGGAAAAACTTGAGAGTGAGTAGGCTACATGACAAAATTTTCATTTTTGTGTGAACTATCCCTTTAAGATAGTGTAGATGATATTCAGCTGTACATCTATAAAACAGCTGTTGTTTACATGCGAGCTAATGACAGTTTGTACCATCGGTGTATTATTTATTTCTGATAAATTAGAAGTCATAAATTCAAGAAAAAAGACCATTAGAAAAAAGACAGACTCTGAAACTGAACAGCAAAATGCAAGCTTGCATAAACGCTGCAGTGTCTGTCATTGTACGGTGTTGTTGACATTGAAACACAAGGCTTAGGCTGTCAAATATTGCTGGATGTTCAAGAGAAGCAGACACCATCACATTCTATTAAATAACCCCATAATGCAGACGATCATATCATATACTCACTTCTTGTTTTCTTGTTAGTCTTCTCAATCTGGAATTCATATCGCACTGGTGAAGGAAGAGAAGAGCTCGTCTGTGTAAACTGTATACTTGAGTTATAAGTTAGCGCTTCCTTAAAGTAAATCACCGAGGCCGGAGAAAGCGACTCCTCTGGACTGTTGACTGCATGTCCATCGGTGTCCTTCATGTGGGGTTTGAGAAATTCATTAGATGACACTAAAGTTTCGGAAACTTCCGCGCTGTGCTGCTCCGATGCTCCTGAGCTCTGGTCCGCCATCTTCAGTTCAAAATTCATGTGACCACTATGCGTCATCCCATTCAGCTCTCGTGTGAAGCAAACTCATGTTTATCCAAGACTGGTTTAGGATAGTTATATATTACGACTCGACATCTTTTAGCCGTATTGTTTCTAAATTTTCAGCCAAACAAACAAACAAACAAACAAAAAATAAATAAATAAAAAATGTTGGTCATATGTCATGACGTAGAAGATCAGCTGGGTGAGAGCATTTAAAGGAACAGCAGCAGCATCAGTAGACAGACACTACCTCAATATAGCGGGACTATAAATAACTTCACAACCACTTCACAACAGTGTAACCCTACGAGCATGTGTGCAGTGCTGGGTGGTAATTGGTTACATCATGTAATCTGGATTACGTAATCTGATTCCAAAAATACTTGTAATTGCATTTTAAAATAGGCTACTCATAATCAGACTAGTTAGGTTACTTTTTTATTGATTACATGTAATCCTCACAATGGCACATCATTCATAATAGCCAACATTTATTCTCCCTACTACTTCTTTTTTTCATTTTTATTCTTTCCTATAGGCTATTAAAAAATGCTAGGCTATAGCCTACGACGTTCATATTCTTCCATGTTTGTGGAATTGCACATGCAGGCAGCCACTAGTCATGAGTAGGCCTACTGAAAACTGAGACCCATGCATCACCGGTTTTACAAAAATCATTTCACTTTTAAGAATAGTGTTCTCAACATTGCAACATATATATAATCAACTCCTGACAAACACATTAATTAGTATTATTGAATCATCATTTAGTGAGTCATTTAACCATGTATTACTGTCTTTGGAAGTATTTTGTCTTTTTACACATTAAAATGTATAGCCTACAAATTCACATCATTTAATATTTACATGCAATGCAGGGATTAACTTTTCTGTCTGAACCTCTTTGACCTAATTGAAGTAGCCTCCACCTTGATATTTTAAGTTAATAAGTTAGGTCAATAATAAAATTAAGTCAATAATAATAATAACTAATACAATTAAGTTCACTGTTGTCTTGTCAGGTCACATGGCATGCAAATAAATACATTTAAAAAAAAAATAGTGTTTTATTTTAATTGTTTTTGTTTACAAAAATATTTATTGTAACTTTACATTTTTTTATGATTTTCATTAAACTCAAGAAACCCATTCCATCAGGAACCCTAGTCTTGGAAACCCTGGGGATGAATGATGAAAACATGCAGAAAAGTTGTAGGGAATAAATAGGAGGAAAACACTTCCCATAAACGTTAAAATAATGATTACAAGGACAAACTACTAAATAGACCTTATAGTTAATGTTTACAAGTGTGTAAATGCACCACTAGAGAGCGCCATCAGCAGTGTTTTGGTTACTTATCCTGTCAGGTTTGTTAGTTAAAGTCTTCTATAGTAACTTCTAAATAGATCTCAATATTTGCTACATCTTTCGTGTAATAGAACATGGCTTCATTTGTTATGAGGCTATAAATATATATTTTTAAGAAATTCATTGTAGGTACATCTGCCCATGTAGTAAAGAACAAATAGAACAAATTAATGAAAAAAAAATATTTTGATTATTATATTTTCTCCCTGTTTGTTCATTTGGGTTTTTTCTTTGTCTCCATAATCTTTGGATAAGTCCGTGCTTAAACGTTGCCTGGTAGTCAGTTTAGAGAAAATGTAAGATCTGTTATTCCTTAAAGTTGTTTTTTTGTGGGATTGCCATATTGCAGTTATTCCTTCAACATATTAATTCTAGAGACCTTCAGATACAGTATTACATAAGTTTAAATAGGCTTCAGTATATTCAAAACTCTGCTGCTCGTGTGCTCACCCTTACCTTTCCACGTGAATACATTACCCTCACATGAAGTTGTACTATGGCTTCCCATTCATGCTAGAATTTATTTTAAAATTCTCAAACAAAGAATTGTATTGGACGGCACCATCTTATCTTTGTAATCACGTTTTCTCCGTGCTAACACTCTTTCTTCCTCAGTCTTAATATAAACTTAAACGATTAGTTCACCCAAAAATGAAAATTCTGTCATTAATTACTCACTCTCATGCCGTCCCAAATCCATAAGACCTTAATTCATCTTCAGAACACAAATTAAAATATTTGTGATGAAATCCGAGGGTTTTTTGAAATTGGTAATAACATTGCAGTCTATGAGGGGTCAGAAAGCTGAAGATGAATGAAGGTCTTACGGATTTGAGACAACATGAGGGTGAGTATGACAGATTTTTTTTTTTGGGGGGGGGGGGGGGGGGGGGGGGGTGAACTATCCCTTTAAGACTATGGGGGGAAAGAGCCTTTTCATTCAAAGCCCCCAAGTTATGGAATGCTCTTCTCCTCACTATTAGAACTTTAGAATAGTTAAAAAGTTGATTTCTCTTTTTTTTTTTTTTTATTAATTTATTTAAGGTTGTTTTTAACTAACTTACCATGTTGCCCTTTTATCCGTGTTGCTATTATTTTACTTTTTCTGTTTTGCTATAGTGCTTTGGGAGTAAGAAAAGTGCATTAGAAATAAAATGCATTGTTATTAGCTATTATTTATTATTAAGTGTTGTGTGTCATTTGAAAGAAAGAAGGTTTTGTGCAGTTGTGCATTTCCCTTATATGAATTAGATTTTTTCCTGCATTACTATACTGTGATCCTATATATGCTCATGTGTTTTGTTCCCTTGTATTTGATTCCTGGTTATGTTTGTTGGCTTTTTTGCTTAGTTCAATGACACTGCCTGATGGTAAGCCACCTCCTGTAGTGTTATTTCAGAAGAGCTCTGACCAATGCAAGTTCAGTTCAGTTTTTAGCCTCTCAATGACCTTGGAGGACTGAGCTGAATTTGTTCTTATCTTCACCATGAAGTCAAAAACAGAAACGAAAACCAGGAGGCCACAAAGAAATCAGCAGCACAACTAGATTGTGACCTTCTTTTGAGATGCAGGAAATCTTCGACTTTCTCAAATCTCACATTTCTGGGATTTGGGTTTTCTTTCTTTCTTTTTTTCTTTACAATTTGTTTTGCATTGATCAGATTTTGCTATTCCATTAGCTTTCAGAGACTTAATGAATACAGAAAATTAAGTACTATCATTTTACTGTACAATTGGGTCTTGTCCAAACACAGGACCTTGTTATACTAAACTAGACATCACATTTGTACAGCGACTTAGAGGATGTCAGTGAACCCAAAACAGTTTATTGAACAAGATGTTATTTGGATGAACAGCACATCATTGAGAACAACAGGCAACAGGTAAGTATTACGGATATGGTAAAGACATGAGTAGATGTTCGTAGTATGAGTCTTTTTCAGAGAAGTTATGGCAAGCTGTGCAGGTGATCAGTAGTCTGGGGAGAGCATGAGTGTGAATGGAGGAAGAGCCTGTCTGTGACACATTAGTATGTTATATCTCTGGATATAATAACATATGGCTGAAGTAGTATTAGATACACACTGTTTAAACTAATTTAATAATGATGAATAAATGACATCCAATAATCGGATCAAAAGAAAGGACACCTTTTACATTCCATTTAGTCATTCCAGTTTTATTACCTGGTGAAAAGTCTTATCGCTTAGAAAAAGAATATCAAATCTTTCCATAGCATGCCACATGATTTGATCATTTTGTCTGTAGCACAAACACCACTAATAAAAACAGAGAAAAATCACTGTCATCTTAAATCTTCAGTGTATTTGATCCAATCTTAAACATTACATATGTCCACCATTATTCAAGTTTAATTCAACATAGTTTTTTTAATTTCCTGTATTTAAAAGTATGTAAAAAGAACTCCCTGAGGAAATACAGCCTCTTCCCAAAAGGCAAACATTACAAAATACGTGACCAAACATATGCTAAGAGTTTTTGTCATTCATTTGAGGGCTTTGAACATTAATGTTTGACTAGTAGCAAGAATACCTTGTTAATACAACACACACCAAAAAATAGAATGATTTTTTTTTTAAAAGGAAAAAAAATCCATATTCTTAAACAAGAAGAGATAAAAATTCATAATATTTTAGTCTTCAGAGACTCAAAAATGCAGAAACCACAGACTTTCAAATGTCAAAACAAGGGGCTATTTGTCCAGGCAAATGCATCCCTAAGCATGAAGGTTGTGTTGTTGAGAGCATTTCATTGGAAGATTGGAAAATGAAAGCAAGTCTGTGCTTTACAAGGGAAAGTCCGTACAAGAAAGAAACATTTCTCTGCAGCTGCCTGTGAGGTGAATCATGAATCAGGTTGTTCTCACACTGCTGTGCGCTCTGCTGTTTGGAGTGAGTCTTACACACTCTGCAGGTAAGCTGATTTCTGCCTTTTATTCCACTTGCATCACATACACACAAATCAATTAGTAAAGCCTTTTACTTTACCCTTCAACCCTTTATATTGTTAACAAGTGTAAAAAATAATTATTTATAATACAAATGCCTTTAGACTGAGTTTTCAATTATCTTTGATAATTAAATATAAATATTAATCATTTATCAATCTTTAATTGTTCCAAAAACCAAATTTAAGTTTGAGGTCAATCTGACACACAGTTAAAACCCAAATTATTAATATTATAAAATATCGTGTTTCATTATTGAAAGTATATGTATCAAAGTATGACATTTCTAAGCATTAAATGTACTGGATGATCTACTGTCTGTCCTGATTGAAAAAATAAACGCTGCAGTGTGATCAGTTTATCAGTCATCATACAAAAATATTTTGCAAACAGAATTAAGTATTAAAGCAATGGAAATAAAACATAATCATATTTTTTGATGTTATTGATGAAAGAAAGTTATTGTAAAAAGTTTCTGTCAAGCATATGCAATATGCATCATAATAAATGTATCTTAATGTGTGTGTGTGTGCGTGCGTGTGTGTGTGTGTGTGTGTGTGTGTGTGTGTGTGTGTGTGTGTGTGTGTGTGTGTGTGTGTGTGTGTGTGTGTGTGTGTGTGTGTTTGGCATGAGGTTCATTTTCTAATTAGTGACTACAGTGAGAACAATTGTCTTCTGCATCAGTGTGTTCATTAGCCCTTAAACTTAGCATAACTGTTGTTAAATATATAGGACATGGAGCGGGGCTTTCACCACGATGTTTATGCAGAGGCAGACTGCTGAAATCAGTGAAGCCCGGATACATTCATGTAGTTGAATTATTCCCACCAAGCCCCTCCTGCTCAAAGACCGAGATTATGTAAGTATGCTTTGACTCCTGTAATGTTTATAAATCAATATTTCTCCTAGATTCTTTTTTGCAATAATTAATGAACATTACAATGCATGTCCTCTAAAATGATTTGTTTCTGATATTTCCTCCTGCTGCTTAACTTAGACTGACTCTCAAAGGAAAAGGAAAAGGAAAAGGAAAAGGGAAGGAAAAGAGATTAAAGGTGTGTTTGCATCCGTATAAGAAGCAAGGACGGAGATTAGTGGAGGGCAAAGGGTAAGATATACACCACTGTTATGCTACCACTTTCTGAATGTATAACAACCAAGTATAATTATGTTTTGTATTATGTCCTATAGAATTAAATTATGTGTCATTGTGCCATCATTCCTAGGATACAAAACAAAAAGCAAAAGAACAGAGGAAGAAAGGGGAAGAATTAGAAGTCTGATGACAAGGATGACTAGTGGAATTATTTTTCTTTATTTTTCTTTCTGTTTTGTGATTTACAATTTTTCTGTGATGAAACTATAATGATACAGGCTAATTTTGATTGATGGCAGTAAATGTTTTGATCTCTAAGAAATTATGACCACCAACACTGTTTTGAATAAAGTATTGGATAGCTTGTGTCCAAAATTATTACTCTATTCACTTCGTTGTATTAATACATTTTATACAAACCTTTCTGATCCAGAGGTGTGATATAATATAACCATGAAATAAAAATAATTCCAATGTGTGTGATATATGAAATAAAAATAATTATTATGATAATTTGATGTTATGTTTACTTAAGTGTATTACTATGAAACAATTAATATGTTTTGATGAAATAATGATGAATCACAGTGGACTTTGACTGTTCAGTCTCTCAGTAACTATATGAAATATTTGTCTACAGTATAAAGCGTTTTGCAATCTACTCTATCGCTCACTAGTAATACAGATTTCAATTAACTGACAATATTCATTACAACAATGCAGTGCAGATTTTGTCATGCTCGTGCTATAATGAATCACACTTCATTATGAAAAATAAAGAATTTGTGAATTGAACACTTTGGCTGAGCCTGGTTTCTCACAAGGTTTTTTCTCTCTCTCTATTTCTGTCACTTTATAGAGTTTGGGTTCTTTGCCTTTGGTTTGCTTACTCTGGGACACTTAATATACAGCAACATTACTGATTAAGCATTAATGAATATTTAACGCAGCCTCTGCAGAAAAGACAACTGCTGCACACACACACACACACACACACACGCACACGGACACTGAGTATGTCATTTTAGACTGTGGAGGAAGAAAGTTGTAATGAATGAAGATCAACCAGATGACGTAGTTAATAAAATAATGTTAAACAATTATTAAACAATTTATAATTTACAATATATATCAGATGTAACTGTAAGGAACTTAGCTATAGGAAATATTAATAATCAATAATAACTTGTTATGATTTATTATGAATATTTGGGTCAGTTAATTGGATTAACTTGACATGGCTACTTTAATATTACAATCAATTAATCAGTTCGTCCAACGAACTTGATTATTAATTTATACTAAGAAAAGGGTATCTTCCATGGCCACAGAAGAATAATTATTTCTTAGCATGTACAGCGCTTTGAGCATGTAGCAAGATCAAGATCGGAAAAGAGACTTTGTTTGCAAGCAGTTAATCAGAACCAAATACATAAAGTGCTCAAGTTTTATTAACTCATAAACATGAATAAACTAAACAAACATATATAAATACATAAATACATGTGTAGGAAAAAGGAGTGAGAGATGGAATGATGTAACGATGGATAAGATCCATCTAACTATGAGAAGAACCAACAGCATTTCATTTTCACATTTCATTGAATTGAATACTTGCATTTGTAGTGGGAACAATTCTTGAAGTTGTGGAAAATTGAAGTCGTTGAGGGTTCCAGCAGTGGCAAGTGGAAGTTGTTTGAAAGTTATCTTTCTCCATGAGCATGTAAGGCCGTCTAATTCGATCCAATGGCGGTACTCGATTAGAGTTGAAGGTCTCACGCGTGTTCCGTCTCTTCCCATGGCAAAGGGATTTTTAATTAAATGCAATACATTTTATCTTATGTATTAACTCGTTTCATCTGACTCCATAAAATGAAAAGGTTTTTCAATGATATCTGTGCATCATTAAATATACGTTAATGTTTGACTATTCCTTTTAACTCCAATGAAAATAAAGTCAAAGTCTGTTAGAATAATCAAATATAACAATTTATCATATCAGGTAAATGTATTATTACAATTCCATAATCAATTGAAAGATAATCAATGCAAACCATCAAATGTTCTAGAACAAAGAGAACATTTCTAGACGGTTCCAGAACCGACATTGTATGGCCAGGGCCGCATTAAGAGCTCACTGGGCCCCGGGGCGCAGAGCACCCAGGAGAAGTGAGAAAGTCGGAAGAGTGGGTGATTGGAGTCGTTGTTGGTTGGAGTCGTTGTTCCAAAACTCCTGAGATTGTCCTTGGTTCTTTGTGAGAGAGTCTTCTCTCTCCTGCCTGAGCCCATATCTGGTTGGATCAAGGCCTGCTGGGCCCTGGGGCCCCCGTGGAGGGGGAGGGGGTTCCCCAGTATCACCAGAAACAGTGTTGCGGCTGGATGAAAAAACTAAGAGAGGGAGGTCACATGTGGACTGTCTCTAATAAAGCCTGACAAAGATCCAACCCCTAAGGGTTGACTGGACCAATAAGCAAGGTGAAATGTCCGAGTGGGAAGGTTGCTCTAGTTAATTTACGAGTCTTTGTCCCAAGCGTGGTTACCCATTTTAACGGCGTAAATTTTTTTATCGCGTGATTAACGGTCTTTTTGGCCTAGCAAACTTTGTAGTTTTTTTTTTCACATGCTTTTGCAACAGGACGCGGCATGGACGTTTTGAAAGCGCAAGCGGATCTAGCTAGACCGGAAACAAAACAACAGGCACGCCGCACACACTTGTTTGGGCTTGCGAGCCGGATGCGCGAGCGCGAATCTCTCTGCTCGCGCGCGGAATATAATGTGCGAGCCCGTTCTCATCCCAAGGCGTACTATACTGACTCTTTTGCCAAAGCGTCTATATCCAACGCACATGGCACCCTTTAGCGTCATATGAGACGCAGATATATGGCGCCTCCTAGTGGTCTAACCCTAACACTACCCCAGACCTAAACCTGCCCAAAACCAAAGCGTGTTATATTGACGCTAAAGGGTGCCATATGCGTTGGATATAGACGCTTTGGCAAAAGAGTCAATATATTACGCTTTGGGATGAGAATGCGTTGAATGTGCCGAGCACGAATTATGGAAGTAAAATAATCCCAAATGTTTTTGAAACAAAAAGCCTGTTGAATTGTACTACTTGAAAAAAATATGCATTGCATTAACCCTGCTTGTATTTTAATGCATTGTATTTTTAGGGCTTGTATTTTTATAGGCTGAAATTTAGCATGGTTGAATATTTAAGCTGTGAATATTTCAAATCAAATCATTTCAAACACATTTTCATTAGTAAAATTTCAATAATCCATATTCACCTTTCATATTTCATTTCCCAAATATTCAAACTGATTAAAAATACAACCTATAATATTCAACAGGCGGTTTTCGGTCCATTTTATTTCGCTTTGCAAATTCGCTTCCACAAATTCAGTGGTTCAAATTCGACAGTAAATTCAACGTTGACATCCAGGAGCTGCAGGAAAAGCAGTAGATTACCGAGCATAATCTCCATCTGCTGTTAGTCGACCTCACCAGCAGGGTGCAAGCGCGTGTTGTTGACGAAGACCAGAGCAACAGTTAGCGCAAGCCATTCATTCATAAAAACTCAGCATGCATTATGTTTTTTGTGACGATTATCTGGGTCAGTATATATGCGTAAAAGATGATAAAGGCACAAAAGCTGTTTTTATGTTTCATTCATTGTTACTTTCCCTGTGTAGCCTTATGTTATCAGCCTTTTCTACAGTGAATGGGATTATAATCTGTTTCCCTCAATACATCATCATACTCAAAGATTCCCCGAATTCCGTCAGGACAAAGCGCTTAACGTAGCTTAATGGACTACAGTGATATAAAAGACCAAACTCGCACCTTATTTGGAAAGTATGTATTGTACATGTACTGCATTAGATTAAACTGGGAAGTAGCACTTTCATATTGTTGTTCTATATTGTTAGTTTAACTAGTCGCTTTGGATAAAAGTGCCAGCTAAAAGACTAAATGTAAAATTGGGTTGACATTCGCACATTTAGGGACCGTCTCTAAAGTAACAAGTCCTATAGGCCTAAACGTTTCTAACTTCAATAGCAAACTTCAATCTATTTGAATAAATTGCGCATTATGCCTGAGCCTGACACCTACATGAACACTTTACAGTTGGCTTTATGACTGTAAGTCGTTCTTTTCAAATGGTATTTAAGTTAGAAACGTGTATACCAATTTCGTATGTAACTTTAGAGACGGTCCCTAAATGTGCGAATGTCCAATGTCAAACCAAATTTATGCCAGTATATCACTGGGAAACGCTCAGCATTAAACTTTGCGCGTTAAATTCATATTCTGAGTCCATCTGCTAGCCTGCGAGTTTGGTCTTTTATGTCCATTAAGTTACGTTAAGCGTTTTATATGTCCAGCAGGGGAATCCTGACATATTGAGGGAAACCAAACCCTAGTACTGCATGCAGCACATCGCTGCAATATAAGGTTAAGGCAACTAAACAACCAAGAGAAATATGTCAAATGTAACACTGGATCTGTACATCCGCATCGGGGGAATAACATTATCGTTCATGGTAGAGAAAGATGCATGTAACTTAGGCTACACAGGAAAAGTAATCGTGAACACACTGAATTTCACATAAAACAGACGTCATAATAATCACAAATACACTTACATTTTCGCAAATAAGTTTTTATGAATGAATGGCTTGCACTAACTGTTGCTCTGGTCTTCGTCAACAACACGCGCTTGCACCCCCTGCTGGTGTGGTCGACTAACAGCAGATGGAGATTATGCTCGGTAATCTACTACTTTTCCTGCAGCTCCTGGATGTCAATGTTGAATTTACTGTCGAATTTGAACCACTGAATTTGTGGAAGCGAATTTGCAAAGCGAAATAAAATGGACCGAAAACCGCCTGTTGAATATTATAGGTTGTATTTTTAATCAGTTTGAATATTTGGGATATGAAATATGAAAGGTGAATATGGATTATTGAAATTTTACTAATGAAAATGTGTTTGAAATGATTTGATTTGAAATATTCACAGCTTAAATATTCAACCATGCTAAATTTCAGCCTATAAAATTCAAGCCCTAAAAATACAATGCATTAAAATACAAGCAGGGTTAATGCAATGCATATTTTTTTCAAGTAGTACAATTCAACAGGCTTTTTGTTTCAAAAACATTTGGGATTATTTTACTTCCATAACGAATCTCTCTGCTCGAGTCGCGCGCTCTCAGATACACGCTGCTCTTGTGAGAATTTTCTCTGGGCTCGCTCAGAGAATATGCCTGCACTTAAAACGTGTTCAGTGCAATCGCGAATCTCTCCTCTTCCCCAGCTAACAATTTTAGGTTATAAGAACGTTTTCATAACGTTCCCATTAAGTTATAAAAACGTTATTT